GTGGGGTGATGGTAGTTTGAAGTGAGAAGTCAACTGCCAGTCAATAGACTTTTTTGTCGTATGTGTATACGTTGCTCCCATCTTTGTTTCCACAAAGTGGTCAGATGGTGCAATTTATGGTTGTCGAAATTCTTTCAGTTAAATTTTAACTTTCTTATCAAGGTCAAATTAATGCAAGTAAGGGAATATGCTTGGTGTAGAATAATTATATTTGGGAACCAGAAGATTCTCCTATAACGCTTCGCTTTGCAATTTGTTTTTTTTTGTTACTTTTCAAATCGAGGTGGAATATCTTTGGCGATATGTCGCTCTTTCTCGTGAGTGTATAAATATATTTCTTGCTCTGGAAATAAAACCACCAACCAAATATGAAATAATTTAAACGTTCTCTTGTAGAATAACGTATCAAAAGTTTTGATATAGACCACTCCATTTTATAGAAGTTATTGTTCAAGCATTATTGTTGATCTTATGATTCGGTTTAAGTTAGGTGAAGATCCCCGACATTATACCATCTCTTTTATATTATTTGAGCCGTTATGCCAAAATCTTGGTTTTTTAAGGTTTGAATGTTATTGTCATTGAATACTTGTAAGTTAGATGGCAACGGTCAGGGAATAATAGAACTGTTAATATCCCTAATAACTAGCTTAATTAGTACATTTTTAATCTGCGAATAAAAAAATTGCGTTAACTCAAAGGAGTCGTTGTTTTCCTTTTTTATTGAGCCTAATGCGGCTCAATTCATTTGAAATTTGGTTCAAGACCGCCGATGTTGTGAATGATGTTTCATCTATCGATTCCTATCGGCTGTTGTTGTGCACCAGCAGTTTGTTGGTTAGTGGAGAGAAGGCATCGCATGCTGTGTTTTCATTTTCTTACTCACTATGTGGCTTGTAATATGGAGCAATCGTCTCAGGTCTCTGCTGAGGGTTGCTCATTGGCATTACAACCTTTCATATTAATAGTGAACTCTAAATAATGATTATTAATAATGATTAAAATAATGTTAAGAAGTGCTAAAACTCTTCGGGGGTAAGGCATATGAGCTAATTCGTTTTTTTCTCTGCTACCGTTTTATTCGTTCTTCCATTTGAATTGCTTCCTGTTCAATGCTATTGATGCTCACTCCAATTGAACGGATATATCTACCTGATAATATCCCCCCCCCAACTGCTGTCTTTTTCATTTTCAAACCCCTTTATTTTCCGAAGGGTACCATGGAATCTATCCTTTCTGGCGCAGTTGTCGGAATTCTCTACGCTCTATTCGCTGGGCAACCTCTCACAATTATGGGCAGTACCGGACCGGTTCTTGTCTTTGAAAGCATTATCTACCGTCTTTGCGAGTAAGTGTACTATCCAAGTACGAATTACCTAGCTCGGCTGTACATCCTAGTCTTGCTTAGAATTTGTGATGACAGGGAGCTCAATAGCTTTTATTCATTACTTTAAACAACCGAGTATTGTATCATAGAACGAGTCGCTGGTCCTACCTTTCTTTCCGTTTCTGGATCGGGATGTGGGTCGCCCTTTTCCTATTCATTATGGTCGCCTTCGATCTGTCTGCTCTGGTTAGATTCATCACTCGCTTCACTGAAGAATCATTCGCTCTCCTTATTGCTTTAATCTTCGTCTTTGAGGCCCTCAAAAAGACCTACTCTATCTCTTACAAGTATCCAATTAATCTGTAGGTTTCGTGATGTAAAAAACTCTACTCTTATATATTAAGTAGTAAACAATCTAAAATTTAGTGATTGGAAGCCATTCCACGCACCACCTGTGGATTGCAGATGTAGCAAACCCGAGAATTATACCGAAAAAGAACTCTTGGATTATGCGAGAGATGCCTATCCCATTCTTGATCTACCCTTTATTGGAACTAATGACACTGACGCTCATCACTACACTAATGAAAATAGAGTAAGTTTATGCCACTTATATGAGATCTCATTAGATGTGTGTATTAGGCTCTTAGCAATATATATTGTGTCTACTTTAGACAATAGATTGGAATCGTTTGAATGAGAATTACTATAGTTGGGACTCAATTGAGGCTCAGAAGCAGTGTAAGATTCTCCGTGGTGTTTGGAATAACCAAGCATGCGAAGGATTTTATGCTCCGGATATCTTTCTTTTTTGCATTCTTCTGGCGATTCTGTGCTTTGCTCTCTCCTACGGCCTAAGGAGTCTCCGCAACTCTGGATTTTTCCCATCTCGTGTAAGTAATTCACGTTTATTGTCTTGCCTTGAAATGGCATATTTGAGATTCATTTTGCATTTACAGGTTCGTTCTCTGATTTCCGATTTCGCGGTTCTGATCGCTATTGTCATCTGTAGTTTGATCGATTACTTCACTGGTCTTCACACGCCTAAACTTCTTGTTCCTGTCTCATTTGAGCCCACTTTAGGTTATAATGTACGTTGCCTTCACAATGACTTAAATACCTAGTTCAGAAGGCATTGTTTAAAAACTCATTTACTGGCTTTGTAGAAACGTGGATGGATTATTCCGCCGTTCAATGGAAATCCTTGGTGGACATCTTTGGCGGCTATTGGACCTGCTTTGTTGGCGGTTATTCTTATCTTCATGGACCAACAGATTACCTCAGTTATCGTTAATCGTCGGGAGAATAAACTTAAGGTGACGCTTTTCTTCTTCCTCCATATAATTTACCAATATTTTAGAGGAGAAATTGAACTGAATTTGTCATTGTCTGTTTTAGAAAGGAGGTGGCTACCATTTGGATCTCCTGGTTGTTACAATAACAATCGCTGTTAATTCGGTGCTTGGAATTCCATGGTTCGTAGCTGCCACGGTGTTGTCAATCAATCATGTCATTTCTTTGAAAAAGGAATCGGAATCGTCAGCTCCCGGAGAATGTCCTATTTTCTTGGGTTGTCGTGAGCAGAGAGTTACTGGTTTCTTCATTTTCCTTTCTATTGGTCTCTCTGTTTTCATGTCCTCAGTTCTCCGGGTAAGTTTTGAAGCGGTAGCTTGTGAACGAGGATCATTTTTTTCTTAAACGATAGAATTCTCGCTAGTTCATTCAGAAAATGTCGAAGCAGGCTAATTTTACTACCGTTACCGGAAAGGGGAAATTTTCCTTGAATGAACTCAGAGTAACATCGCCAGACATCTATATTAGATCGTCATGGTGTCACCAATAGAGCTTCAATTCTTCTTTTTTATAGACCAGTATAAGTGGAAAATTAGATTGGCGAAAACTTCGCTCACTTTTAGCGTCAAGTGTTGTCTCGTCTTCTGCAAAGGAAGAGAAGAAATCGGTGGAGAAATTGGTAAACGCGATGTCTAGTTTGTTCATTGGGTATGTGATCTGTCGTGTCCGCTAACTGTGCCAGACGGATAATTGATAGACATTGAGATATGGGTTTAAGATGACGCATTTGAGTTAGCGCAACTAAGCTTAGTATCATCAATTTGATTATGCACAGACAAAAATATACAAAAATTTACAAAATTAAGAACAGAAAGATATTTATTTCGAATGGCAGGCATTTTGATAGTTATCATTAGCCCTTTGGTTGACTTCGAGCTTCACAGAAGGAGGAACATTAAAGTGAGAAAAATTCGACAGGGGAAAAGAAGAGCGATTCACAGATATAAAAGACAGACAGACACAAAGGCAGAGAAAAGGCTAGACGAGTATTGTGGAAGGGGTCGAATATGACGCAGTGTGGTCATGGTAGTTTGAAGTCAGAGGTCAACTGCCAGTTAATTGGCTTTTTTGCCGTATGAGTATACGTTGCCCAGGGTGCACCACGTGGAGGTAAGTCTATCGCACA